TTTTTTTTTGGTATAGTAAGTTATGGTTAAGTACCTATAGGTATATCGATCATTATCTTAATCGACCGGGGTATTGTCAGCAATAATTTGCTAAAATTCCAATACAACAATCTATTTACATAATTGTATGTATTGCATGTAGAGACTGTAGAGTGTAGTTACATTTATATTTTATAGTATCCATAGTTTATATTTTGTATTAATTATTAAAAATTAAAAATTAAAATTTTAACTATTTTACCTAAACACAAACGGGAACCAATTCGGGTCAACTTAATAAAATACCTTTTTCAAATGGGAACCAACTAGCACTAGGCTACTACCGAACATTAACCCAACATTCATATCATCACCAATGCGCAAGATATATTATTACGTTGGTACCTAACTAGTTCCATCTCATTATAATCTTCAAGGATAATAATTGTTGTTTATACAATGGCATAAAAATTAAAAATGAAAACTGTTACAAAAAGTTACTCTCTTATATATAAAATGGATAATATTAAAAAAAATATAGATGTATGAGTTTTATTTAAATATATTAAGGTATGTCATGAATAATATCTCACTTCTATATTTATGTGCATAAAMAATTAAATTTATTTAGAATATTATTTTTTAAATATTTTAAAAATTTATATCGAGAATTAATGATAATAAATAGTAATATAAAATACCTATGTTTTATTAATGAGATTTAAAAAAGTGCTGTGGTTTTAACCATGAATAGCAGTGGGTAGATATGATAATTTTAGTAAATTAAAATAGATAGATGATTATCTCGAAAAATCTTAAAATAATAAATTAATAAAAAAAATATTAGACACACATTTTTATTAAAGTAAATATAGCCAATATAGGTATACAAATATATATAGTTATACATTTACCAATACATTTTTTTGTAAGAATTAATAATATAATAAAAAGCTTTTATAGCCGTAGTAGGTTGATTTAATAAGTAATAATTAATAATGTTGTTGTTAATATATAAATGTTATAATTTTTTATCAAGTTAAATGAAACAGATAACAGATTTTTAACAAGCTAAAAACAATTATCACACAGTAGAATTTATTTATTTCATGCCTCACGCATACTGCTTATCATGGAAGTTAGTGGCGGCAGATTATATAATATAGATAGATAAGTACAACGTTATTGTTGTACTAAATGTCTCATGTATCTTAATTTATTAAAAACAATTAATTAAGATCCTGCTATCATTTATTAAATTAAATTAAATCAATAGGTAATTAAAGCATATCTTGCAGTTAAGACAAATTAACTAACATAATATATCTTAACAATATTATATAATATGCTTAATGAATACATGATAACTATAAAATAGATGATTAATATAATATGACCACATTATTGTAAAAAAAAACATAAAATACAAATAAAATATAAACTAACGATGTAGATGTCTATTTCAATACATACTTACTACCTATTATAATTCATTTTTAGCTCATTGGACACTTTAAATCCCAAATTGATATAAGTTCCGATTGTTATTTATAATAATAATTGATACCTCTTTTAAATTTGAATATTGAAATATAAGTAAGTGAATTTTTCAAAATAATCATGTACTCATTACTGATTAGGCTTTTGTTCTTTATATTTTTAATAATTTTACAACTTCCTTAAAATTGCTGTGATTACAATAAAAATTAAAGTAGATTTTTTATATTATTTTGGTATCATATATTAAAAAAACATCAAAAAATAATTAAAAATAATTATATAATTAACTATGTGAAGTCAGTTTTACGAAAAATTATTCAAGTAGGTATCTTACTTTGGAGTAGGTACCTGCCTAACTTAAAATTTCATTTATTCACTTTGACATAAAATTATTTTAGTATATAGAACGCTATAAATATAAGTTTCCTAAATATAAATGCAATAATCCCTTAAAGAGTATCCAATTAATGTGCGATTGAAACAGTATAATTATTATTACATTATTATAATATAATATACAAATATCGAATAACCGGAAATACCGTAGATAATAGTAGTAAACAAATACCAAATATCGGCATAAACATTTTAAATACCACCAGCCTCTAGATAAACCAATTTCTAAGAGCGGTTAAAAATAATTATCTAATCAACATTATATAAACCAACTTTTTTAAAATAATTTTAGATATAAACCATTCATTATGGAGAGGTTAGAACCTCTCCCCCACCCAAAAAAAAAAGAAAACCCTACCCTATACACGCCATGCCACCAGCCCAACTATAAATACATATTGGAAATTGACAAATTATCTATAATCATGTTGACTTTATTAAAATTAAGAGTTGGGTCCAAAGGATAATAGAAAAACACTATTATCATGATATTGTAAAATGCAAATAAGAGATTATCACTATGAAGACGTTATTATGATAATTCTATTATAGCGTTACATGAGTCATATATGTATTAAATATGTAGCTACCTAAGCGACAAACTTTTTATTATTAATTATTTTATGAGATTATTATTGTAGTGTGTTATAATACTATGTTATATAGATATCTAATTGTTTGCTTAATAAACTCAAAAATCAATTAATACATATTTATATATGATAGGTTAGGTAAATAGGAACCTTATATCTAACAATATAACATAACTGTTTATAAACATTGGTTTTTCTTAGGTTTTTATCAACGATCCCGTCATTACAAAACATATGTATATACCACTGGTTAGATTTTATAATAATTTATTAATATAGGGAAAGGAGAAGGTTTACCTACCTAACTATAGTTCATTATAATCGTAAATGTTTTAATAAAACTAAAAAAAATAATAATAACTAATTTAAAAACCAGCATGATAATGATCACTGGTTAAATAATATCTAATAATAAAATAAAATCATTATGAAAAGATGGAATGACTTAATTTATTAAGGAGCAGAAGAGTTACGTGGTTGAGTCATGGATTCATTTGAGGTTTCTTCCTCGGCACCAACAACGTAACTCATTAAAGGGTTTACACCTCTAGTGCTTACAACAGTATCATGTAAATTCATTCTGAACATTTCTGATTCCTCAACAATCATGTCTTCATCGATATCATCATCCTCTTCGTCCTCTTCGTCCGACTCGAGGAATTGCAATGGCGAGTCAGCCTCGATTAGCTCTTCCAAACTCAATAATGCGGCGAGATCTATGCCATTAAATCTATTGCTCGATCGTGGTTTATCGACTAAAATATAAATATTATGTTTTTAATTATTATTGAACCGTTTAGATAAAGTAGGTACTGCGATATGTATTTACTTTTCATCTTGCTGCGGTCTTTTATGGCAAGCCCACGCTTATGTTTAATTTCTTTCGGCAATTGTTCAACAATCTTTTCTATGAAGGTATCCAAAGTCAAACAATATGATTTTGATTTAATATGCACACGACAAATTGGACATTTTTTGACACGCTTTGTCCAAACGTGGATGCATGATTCGCAAAATGTGTGTGAACAGTTAAGTACTGTTGGCTAAAAAATAAATATTATTTTTTATTTAATGAGTCTTAACAAGCTTAAAAGTATCATTCTGTAATATTGACATACCTTTGTAATTTAAATAAAAACTAGGTAATTGCTAACTTTTACTGCAGCTAGTATAAAGATGTATACGATTTATATGTATATTTTAAATATATATTACATTACCTCAAACATAAAATCAAAATTCCTAAACCATTTAATTTTTATTTAAAATATACTGTACAGCTTAGCCGTTTAGGTATTACGTTTAGTATTACGAATTTACTGTTTTGTTGATAGTTTTTTTATTGCCATTATAAATTACAACCGTAGTTTCTTAATAATAAAATACCGAGTAAAAACCAAACTAAGTTATTACCTAGGTATCAATTATTATTATATTCATTGTTCAGTTTTCAAAAATGTAGCAATGGAAGTTAAACTTTGATTAAACTGTTTAATGCTGATACAGTGATACCTATAAGTTAGGATCTACTAATTTACGGTTACATATTAACTCCTTGGTTATATTTATCGTTAAATCAATATATGTATTATTATAAAACTTATTAAATAGTTGCTGATAATTATTATAGCATAGTAGGTACCTTAATAAAGATTTCAAAACAGATATTGCACTGTAAGTCATTGTCAATAGCACACCGTATAATATTATTCCATGGAGAATTATCATTTTCAGTACTTCCTTTCTTCTTTTTTTTATGAAGTGCATGTAATTTACTTGCAGCCTTTTTAACGCTTTTGCCGTTTCCTTTTTTCATTGCCACTGAAAGATCGGTCGCCACCTTTTCTATTTCCATTTCAGAATCGTCGGACTGTTTTAATATTGGTCTAAATCAATACAATTTCATAAAATATTAAAACAACATCAATAAACAAATAAATTAAAAATAAAAGAGAATACTTCATGGATGCTTCAAGAAGAAGTTGAAGTCCTTGTGCTTGTACTGGAGTAGATTTGCCACTAGTACTAGCACTGGTACTGGCACTGGTATTGATACTGGCACTGGCACTGGCACTGGTACTGGTACTAGTTGTTGAACTAGTACTTGTACTGGTATTAGTTTCTGGAGATGTAATTGAATGACTTTCTTCGTAATAAGATTCCGCTAAAAGGGAAAATAATAAAATTAGTTTCTGCTTTTTAGTAATAATTTGATACCTATATATATTATCTAAATCCAAAATCTATTCATTAATCATAATTCCATTTTTAAAAATAATTCTCTCATAGTCAGTCAGTTAGTTATAGGCTTTTTGATATATTCCTAGCGCTAACTAAATACTAATTAATGCTACCTTTCAATATTTACATTTGTTTATATAAATTACTGATGACATCATAAAAATATACCTTTTAATTATTTTTGGTCTTTTAAATAGGTATTGTGATAATATATGATTTAGTGTCTTATAAGCTAAAATATAATTTTCATTCTGTCAGAATTTTTACTTAAAATATACCTACTAATATACCATATTTTTTTATCCATATGCTAATAGCGGCTATAGGTGACTAAATTATAATCGTATGATGATGCGATAGCGATTTTGTCTGTTATTGTTAACCCTAATAAAATAAATTACGCTGAATCTTATAAGAAATTGACTTATAATTTCTTAAACTTCGCGTATGATAATACGTGAATATTATTCACACTCAATGGCGTCCTGCAAACACACACACACGCACGCACTGTCCTGTTACTCTTGACTTTTTTTCACTTGTGATTTTTGCAGTATTAAATTAATTAATAAAATAATGTAAAATATTTACTTGCAGCTGCTGCAAGTGCTTGAGTCTTCGGCGATCGGTGGTTCAAGTCATGAGAGTTCCAACACCTGCTGCCGAACCGGCAAACGCCTCGCAAGTAATACATGCAGATTTCCGAGTATTGCATCATCATGGTTGGTAAATATTATTTAGACGGTTTAAAATCTAATCGATACMTAGTAATAAATATTATTTAGTCATGAGTTAAACTATAGAAGTCTAACAATCGCCGGTCGGCTAGACGAATATTTTACAATATTTATGTTACCATTTATAGCATTACCTGAATTATAAGACRACGGGAACGCGCGCGCGAAAATCCAAAGTACTACCGGCTTTGTCTGGGGAATGTTCCAAATTGGTGGACTCGAATAAGTGCCACCGATCCCGAGATGTCCCCCGCGTCTTTCTCTCGCCACCTTTATTCAACAGTGTTACCACAATCATTCAACCCCTCCCCACCGCTTACATTTCGACCATGCACCCCTATAGCTGTCACTCTCACTCCTGTGGGTTTCGATTACAGTTGCGGGAAGAGCGCTGTACTCGCATGGGGTGGTGTGCGACGTGGTGTATAGCGACTGTTGTGTGGATCGGTGGGAGGATTCGGGGAATCGATCGTTTTTTGGGTCGGACGAAGTGCGCAAACGCGGTGGATAACGATCGGTGCCGAATCCGGAACCTGCACACTACCCTGCAATATAATACACAGCAAAATATAATATTATATTTACAACCGCGTATAGTTCGCATTAAAATATAAATACGTAGGTACCTAAAGGCACGTTTAAAATAGTATTAAAGTGATCTTCGAAGACCGCCAAACATAATATTTCTAAAATACAGTGTAGGTACACGCATAGACATACCTATATCCACGAGTGTGTAGGTATATTATTGTAAATTAAAATCTTAATAATCAGTGTACTGCACACATTACGGTTTTCCAGAGATATCTTTAGGTGCCTACACTGGAGCTTGGAAGCAGTATAGCATTAACGATCCACAAGGTGTACATTAGAAAAGATATTATACGATCGTAGATCTTTCTGTTTCACGCTTTTTGATTTATTGAAATCGAAATGCAGCATATAAACAGCCTGTATCTACCTGATATTAGTTACGTAGTTTGTACAAGGTGAATGGTTATACGGAAGTATAATACATCATTTACTATACGTATTTTTTCTATATAATTGTTAAAGTAATATGCGATGTTTAGTACTTAACAATTTATAATATATTATAACCAGGCGATCGACCCAATATAGCTTTGCGGACGATTTTTTCACTGCAGTAAGTTGTTGTCTTATTGCGTAGGTACACGAATAAAATGTATAATACTATTATAATAAGTTCATAGGTAGGTAGATATTTTATTTTGAACAATATTATGAKATGTATTTTTGTGTGACATTTTTACAAGTGAAGTTTTAAGGTACCTATACTAAATTATATTATTATCTATAATTACATTACATACTTATGTATTAGACATTATAAATTATAATATAATTGTGTATAATGTGTATAATAATGTATWTTTAATGTGTGTACAATAGATATGTAGGATTTTAGTATTATAATACAGTACCTAGTAATATAGCATTGTAGCCATATAAAGGAATAGGATACTATAATATAATAGGGTAGGTACCTATATAAGAGTTCATTATGTTACCTATTGGTACCAATATTTTAAATTATTCCTTAATCAAAAAACAAAAACCTTTCTAACATTATTTGAATATTCAGGAATGTTGACGGATTCTCTTTCTTTTTAAAAGAAATGTAGGTCATCTGGCGTATATTGTAGGTACAATGTATAATGCTACAGGTTACACAACATAATTTTATAAATAATGTTCATTATGTAGGAAGATTGTATAGAAACCTACTCTGTACTYTGTAATATATCGAATTTGAGGATGTAAAAATATGGGTGGCAGTATTGTGCTAAAAATTTCCCACCCGTTCCCGGTTTTTTGAACGGAAAAAAAAAGGATGTAAAAATATATATCACTCGCATTTTATGTACAGCTCTGCCTGTTGGGAGGCGTTGACTTAAAATATATGATGTMGGTAGGATATAATGATTATCTTGATTAAAAACATATGCGACTGAAGTTGTGTAGTACTTTTATTAAAACTTAGTTTCAGTGAAAAACGAAAAACGAAAAACGAAAGTATAAAATTATATTTTCTTCTTCAATCATTTTATATTTACCGGAAAAAAAAAAAATAAAATTCGTAAATTGGCTTAATACTTTCCAAGGATTTTAAGAAATGTAAAATAATGTTAGATTTGATTATAAATTGGCAGGATACAAATTTATGTAACTTACACACTAGTAAATAATTTTTATACTAATATGATTAGGTACCCTACAGGACTGTAGGCGTGTACATGTACACACATAGTTTATTTACCTATACCTACTCTCACAAATATATTTAGAGACATTTATAGTAAAATAATTTAGRTAAGTCTGTATATTATATTATTTAATTATATATATAATATATGTTTTAATAATTATAGTTATAATCAACATTGGATTTTCACTAGGTTTCTCATTTAGCGATTTTCTTATTTTGGTTTAATTAAAAAAAAAAATGACCGCAGATACTTGCAATTTTCATTGAAAATCATTCATTTGATTTTCATTTTTCTATGCTTGATAAAATTTTCAAAATATTTTGATTTGTTTTGAGCTGATTATTGATATTTTAATTTTTCAACTTTTTTAGTTTTTTTTATAAATATCTATAAAAAAATATTTGTTGGGTAGAAAAGCTTAAAAATTTAATTCAAGACACCTAACATATTGTTACAATAGCAGTTGAAAAACATTAAAAATACATAGGCACGATTTTTTTTTTTAATTTTGACTAACTACGTAAAAATTAGGCAATGTTCAAATTATCTTAGATAGAAATTCATAAAAGATTTTCTTTTTAAATCTAAAATTTGAAAATATAATAAAAGATTCCTTATAAGTTTGTCTACCTTTATCAAAAAAAATAATGTTTACCAGAAAGTCAAATTAAATTTTTATGAGTGTTTAAAATTAATTAAACGACAAAAAAAAAATGGCCTCCGGTCTCCGGAAAGTCAAATATTTTAATAAGTATTAATAATAAGTATTAATAATCTATAATATATCCTAGACAGATAAACCACCTCCACTCAGGATTGTTTTTCATATACAATGATATAATATCATTGAATTCAAATTTAATTCCATCCATTACAGTAACCCACTTGTAACCTACTGTACAGCAGAGCGACATACACGACTTACCCGCTTTTTTTTATAATATACATTTCCAATGATACAGACACTAAACTTTTTGAGTTTTAAAATACTTGTATAATATTGCGTTTTAGTTGAATATAGCGGACAGATTATTGATCTAATAGAGGGCTTGTCAATAACATTCAATAGGAACCTGTGCGACGGCGCTAATGTCACTACGAGCAACTGTAAAACCTTATTGCTTACGACCTTACACTATTTTCTTAAAATTTGGACGAATTCACTCTAGAAATTCTTGGTTATGTAGACTATCTTTTTAACATGACATTAAGACAAAACTTAAAACTTATTTCTTTTTAATCATGCGAAAGCTTAAATAATTCGTTTTTATTTATAAAATTGTATTATTTTAAATACCTACATTTATAGTTACTATTAAAAAAATTATTATTWTTTTTTTATTAGCCTCAACAGACTCTTTTTAGCATCCCAATATTCATTATTTAGTAATTTAATTTCTGTGTGTGACTGTGTTGGGGGCCTTCCTATACATTACAATATGTAAGTTAGGGATACCAAGTTTTACACTACGCCACTGCAGCATGCTGCATACAGCTTTATCTTAGGTTTATATAATTATGCAATTGGTCCGCATTGGAGACYACATATTTATTTATACTCTTTAATCTTACTATCATATTCTAATTCTATATACATTTTATTGAAATATATTTT